CAGGAAACTGCCATGGCGTCATTTGTTTCGGAAATGCCAACAACATCTTGGATGAATGCGTAGTCGCGCCATCAAAGTTCAAGCTCACTTTCTAACGCACTTCCGTAGAAGCAGGGGTAACTTTACGGGCGTTGCAGCCATTGTACTGCTGTTGTTGTTATTATAATGCTTGTTTTTATTTGCTACCGGCATAGTTACAAATAACGGGAATCAGCTTTAATCACCTTCTTAATTAAATCAGTTTGCCTTGTTTGTTGCTGCCGCCGTTACCGGCCGCCTCTACTCTGTTGTTGTTCGTATTTTTTGTTGCATAGCTTTATTATGGAGAGGGCGACAATGTCTGCTGTCTGCTACAAGTGCGAATGAGAAATACGCGTTAATCACCTACAAGCGTCTACTTTTCATTCCTGCCTGTACTTGCAATTTTTTTCACTTCTTTCCCTTCTCTGATTTCCGCTTTGCGGTGAATATTTAAAATGCGGCGATTTTTTTCTATCGCAATCAGCCTGCGTATATAATGAATGGTAACTGGAGAGTGTTAAAGACACTAAATAAGCGTTGGTTTGTGTTATGGAGGCGTAACTGAGGTATGCACAAGATAAAACGTTTTAATCATTAAACTTCTTTATTTCGCCGCTAATTTTTTCATGTCTGTTTTTCATTGTTGATCGTAGTTGTTCATTGTTCATTCCTGTGCGGTTTAACAATTATCTCTTTTTACTGCGCAATGTATTTTTATCGCATCATTTTTTACCAATCTTTTTCGTTAAATTTAACTCTTCATGCTTTTCGGCATTTAATGTATTTACGAATACTAAAGCTTTTAAGATGGATGCACCTTTTGTTGATTCATAACTCAAGCAAGTAATTTCCTTAAATATGAAATGAGGAAAAAAATATTGTAAACCAGTCCGGCCGGAAATTTTCTAGACAAAGCCTTGATTCCATCTGGAGCCTGGCTAGATTTCCGTAATTGAGAGTTCACTCGACAGTGCCAAACAAGTTCTGGCATAAAAATCCCTTCTACAGATAATTTACTCCGGCCCTAATTAAACCTTCTTAACTATATTCTCACGCAATTTAATCTGGGCAAATCCTAGCATAGAAAAATTAATCAGAGATGATCACTTCTGGCGCTGGTGCCTGGGCTTGGGTAACCAGTTCAGGTGGTAGGCAGATTTTTTCTATTGCGTTTAAGTTAGCAGCGCCAGGACAGTATCTGTCATGTGACAGCCTTAAAAGGGTAACATAGGCGGGCAGAGAATGGGTTTTTCTGAAACAGGTTTATCTTCTTAGAGCCTGGAATGGCTTCAGAACAATAATTTCCATTTGGGATAATCAAGGAGTGTGGTTTTGTACCTGGCAAATCCACCATAGACTAGGAAAATACCCCTAGAATAAAGCGATACGCACCATCTATTTGTCGATTTCAAAGCCGGTTTCGACAGCACGAACAGAAGTTGCCTTTATGCCGCGATGTCTGAATTTGGTATCCCCGCGAAACTAATACGACTGTGTAAAATGACGTTGATCAATACCCCCATCTCCGTCAGAATTGGGAAGGACCTCTCCGAGCCTTTCCCTTTCGTTTGATTTCTTTAATCTGATGTTGGAGAAGATAAGAGCCGCAGAACTGAACCGCTCAGACACAATACTTTACTAGAGCGTACATTACTGACGTATGCCGACGACATCGATATTATCGGTAAAAACAAGGGCTACGTCGGTTCTGCCTTCTCGGTATTAAATAGAGAAGCAAAGCGAATGGGTTTGGTGGTGAACCAGCACAAAACGAAGTTTCTCCTGCCATCACACAAATAGTAAGAGCATCCGCGTGTTGGCACACACGTCACTGTTGACAGTTAGAAGTTTGGAAAAAGTAGACGACTTCACTTATTTGGGAACCAGCGTTAACACCAATAATGATATCAGCCTTGAAATCCAACGGAGCATCAGTCTTGCCAGCAAGTGCTACTTTGGACTGAGTAGGTAATTGAGAAGCAAAGTCCTCTCTGGTCATAGGGGCAGATTAGTCGAGGAGAATTCCACTGAAATCTATACTAATGGGTCCAAAATGGAATGCAGTGTGGGTGCGGGTGTGTTCTCTGAATCGCTGAAAGTCTCTCCCTCGTTTCGACTACCTAACTTTGCTAGCATATTCCAAGCGGAAGTACTAAGCATCGAAAGGGCCTGTAAAGTAATAGAGAGGAACTGCGTAGGTGTACGAAACGCATACATTATCAAGCGGAACTTCTGGCACTTGCCTCACCGGTAACAAAATCCAAAAGAGTCCGAGATTGAAAATGTGCGTTAACAACCTTCAAAGCTGCGTGGAACATATGGGCGTACTATGACAAGCCAAAGACAGAAGAACTTCTCAAAAGGTCGATGAAAGATATAGTCAAATTAATAGCCACGATAACGGGACATTGGCCCTTTGGTGAACATGCAGCTAAAATGGGCCTTCAGTATAACTCTCGGTTCCGTAGCTGTAATCTTGTGGGAAGTAAAGAAACGGTCATTCTCTATTTTTGCGAGTGCCCAGCATTGACACAAATAAAGCAGATCACACTCGGGACGTTTTCCAACCAAATTTACCATTACTAACCTAAATAGATCCATCGGAAAATCCAAATGGTTCGACGAACCCAACGAATCATGAAAGCAGATAAAGTCAGGGATCCCGGAGAAAGCGTATCAAAATGGTGCTTTCAGCACTAATTGGGTCCTGGTAATGTACCCAGGCGACGCTTCTACCAACCAACCAACATCTTTCGTCGTCCAAAAATCACACTCTCCAACAGGGGTTCTTATTAACGGTACTCCTAACTTTGTATATCAGAATTGAAGTCGGTTGTGTTTTTTGATCAGAAATTACTTTTTTAATCAAAATTTCTATAACATAAGATGCGCTCAACTTTCAAAAAGAATAAAAAAAATTTAAAACAGAGGTTTAATTTTCATTTTCCTCGATTTCTGCTTACTGATGTTTGATGAAGTTGGTGATCTTTCACGATTGCCTAATTTTTTTAATATTTCGAATACCGAAAATTTAACTGAACTTGTATCTATTTTTATTATGCAGTTAATTTTGGTGGAATGAATTCGAAGTTGGCAAATTAAATCTTCGAATCCTTGTTAAGTACATATTAGTGGTAAACATTTTTAGGCTGTAGAGTGTAAAAAAAAACAACAGTTAGTTACATACTTTTAGGACAATGGGCCGTATGAATAAAAATAAGCAATTGCTTTTTCATAAAATTTCAAACCTTTTACCCGATTTATTCAAACAAAAAATGTGACTCGATAGAGCTTTCAACCATGCCAAGAGTATTTGGCAAAAATAAAAACCAAAGCCAATAAAAGAGGTTAAAATTAAACATTTTAATTTTTTATATTTATAATATCACGAAAACTATTTAACCGATCACAAAAGTATTAATGCTTATTTAAAGATAATTGAAATACCTTTAACACGATTTATATAGTTTAAC